CTGCAGCTCACCTGTCTCTGTTGTAATAACCTCTGTCGGACGAGTAGCCTCCACTCCTGTTATCGTAGCGACCACCCCCGAAGCCACGGTCTCCGCCACCTATGGAACAACATCGTGAGATCGCTGCCCATGAGCCCAGGATCTCCCCCCATGCCCAACGCCAAGCACTGCACTTTGTACTGAAAGGCTTAACTAAGGTGAAGCCATTTCCTTGAAAGAAGTGGCAAAGTTAGGGGGGCTGGTTTCCACTTTCAGATGGTTGCTGATGAAACACTCACTGCAGCAAAAAAACATGCAGTGTTTGCTGGTCACTTTGTATTCAGTGCCAGAAGTGTCAGCTGTAAGAGGTGCTATAATATGGATGCTGAAGCACAGTAGTGCCTCTTCCAGGAGGCTATACAGAGACACTCCTGGTGGGCACGCTACTGGGATGCATTGCAAAACGGACAAGGGACAAAACTCCACACGCCCACAACAGCCATGTGGGACAGAAAAGGGACGAAGCACGGAGCTCGGATGCATGCAGTCCCAAGATTTTCCCCAGCAAACAGGGGGGTCGGGGGTCATTCTCCACTCAAAAATGCAGGCTGGCACTGTTGGGAGGGGGGGAGGGGACAACAAACTTGCCTTGTGAAAAACCACGCCCACCTCTGCTGAAACCCCCTCGCCCCCCCCTGAAGAACCCGCCTCCGCGGCCCCCAGAGCCTGCGCCCCTGAATCCGCCGCCTGGCCGGCTCCCGGAGGACTTTCCCGCCTGGTCGACGCGGATCTGCCTGCCGTCCACGGACTGCGGGGAGGAAGAGGGACAGGGAGGGAGGAATTCTGGGTTAGAAAGAACTGGCAGGGATGAGCGCATTACAAAATCACAGCAAAAGCAAAATGTATGCAGTAACGCATCACAGATTAGACGGCTCTAAAGGTGTGCGCAGTTCCATGTTAGGCACCCGAACGAGGTAACATTGTGAATGCATCCCTTTCAATACAGTTACGTCCAATTACTTCATGACAGGGACTAGCGAGCAGGAAGGGCTGCTTCACAATTCGTGCGAACTCTCCACAGCATGGTGGCTGCACAGAACTTCCACCGTTGTCATTACAGGGACTAGTTATAAAGCGCTTTGAGAAGCCACCTTTAAAGGCGCTATATAAAATAATGTATTATTATTACTAGTGAGCAGGAAGGGCATCTTCATATCAATTTGTGGGATCTTGCACTCTCACCTGTAGTGAGAGTGAGGCTTTGCGACAACCGGGTGATCTACACTACTTCCAAAAAGGAGCTAATTCGGCGTTTAAGATTTTTTGCAAAGTCGGCGATGAATTTAATTTGTTACAGAGATTTGATAACCACGCCGATGAATTGGGACTGTGGTTCCCCTTTATGTTGGGGGGGGGGCACATTCTTAAGGAGCTTCGTGAGCTCTCTCTACACTAGATACAGTGCTGCTCCAGCTCATAAGACCCCACCCCATGTCAGGAGTCACCCCCCCACCGACCCCACGCAGGTGGGCTCACCGTGCCGTTCATGGCCGACATCGCATCTTTGGCGTCGTCGGGGTTCTCGAAGGTGACGAACCCGAAGCCTCGGGACCTCTGGGTCTCCCGGTCCTTAATCACGACGACTTGGTGAGGAAAAAAAAAAGAGAGATGAGGAATCTGGTGCTACCATCAGCCACAGAAAGGAGTCTAAAACTGGAGGAACCGGGTGAATTGCACTCAAAATAACCCCCCAACTAGGGCAGCACAGTGGTGAGCACTACTGCCTCGCAGAGCTGGGGCTCAAAGTCCGATTCCTGATCCGGGGTGCTGTCTGTATGGAGCTTGCATGTTCTCCTCACACAGTCTAACCCCCTGCCTCTTGCCCATTGCATGCTGGGATAGGCTCTGCCCACCCTACAACCCTGACCTGGATACAGCGCTAAGAAAAATGGATGAATGCCAAAGGCCCTAGTAACGCCCTCACCCAAAGCCTCAGGCAGCCTGAAGGCCGCTGAGCTAAACCTGTCCAAAGAGTGAGGGCAAGAACCTCAGCTCGAGAAAACAACTAAACAAGAGAGATACTCTAGCCTACTGGACAATATCTGGACATTACAGACAGAAGCAGCTTAAGTAGGGAGCTGCTTCAGCACCCATAGGCTGCAAAGCAGCAAGTCAAGGTTTATTCCATGCTGGAAAGAGAAGGAAAAAAAATTTGTGGCCAAAACGTTGTTTGTTTTCTTCTTCCAGCGTGGAATAAACCTTTACTTGTCCCATCACAGGAGCTGGCTGGCTGGCAGGGCTGCTTCTCTCTGACCCCCCTCCTCCTCCCCCCACCGAAATGCAGACACCCCACAATGCCGCGCGGCCCCTGCCCCTCACCTTCAGAGATCTGCCCGTACTTGCTGAAGACATCTTCCAGGGCCTGCTCGTTGGTGTCGAAGCTCAGGCCTCCGACGAACAGCTTTCCTTCCTCAGACATTCTGTCGGTTCTGCGGGACTGCGGAGACGCACACGGCATTCACGATCACGGCTCGTCGTCCAGTACAAAGACCCACGTGTCGAGCACCCCCCCCCCATTCCGAAATATTTTTTAAAAAACAATAGTTCTTTAAAAAAAGAATGATCGATTATCTCGGGGGGGCCGCCGGGCTGATCCGCTCCGGGTCCTGCTGGCCCGGAGCCCCGATGCGGCCCCGCCAGCCTCTCGCGACAAACCCGACCCCCGCACGAACTTTTTTTTGTGGGGGGGGGGAGGGGAGGGGGCCGGTCACGTGGCCGTGGATCTACGCACGCCGGCCACCATTTTACCTCCCCTCGTTCCTTCCTTCCCTCCTTTCTCTCTCTCTCTCTTCTCGCAGAAAGGGGACACCACTCCACCCACGCACGCAGTTACGTTCATTCGCCGCCGGTACCGCATTGCTCCCCCATGTGGGATTCGATCATTAAAAAAAAATAAAATAAAAACGAAGCTACGAAGCATCATGTAAAAGCCATTTTGGAGCCGAGCTGTTAATGGACAAAGACCACCCTCCCCCCCCCCCAGCTAATGGAAGCGCTTAAGACGCCATTTTCCTGCCGGTGCGGAGGACGTCTGCACTCCGGCCGTCACTCCATCCCCTACCCGGGCCGTGCCTGCGCCTTTACCCCCGGCGGGACACCGCGCTGCGCCCGGGGGGTGCGTTTCAGCGGTTGCATCCTCCTCGCAGCCTCCCTCCGGGCAGGCACTCGTGGAGCTGTTCGCTTTGTTACCGCCCCTCCCCCCCACCACCACCACCACCCCCACGAAAGCAGCGGCGCCATTTTTTTATCTTTAAATCCTTTCTTTAAAAGCACTGCGTCACCCAGGAACGGCACGGAAGCAAGGCCGTCTAAAAGGAGGCGAAGCGGGCGAAAACAAAGCCCGCCGGAGGAAGAACCCCCGCGCTTGCGGAAACCCCCTCGGATTTTCCCCCCGAAAAAGGGGGCATCTTACGAAGGACTGTAAAATAATTTGTATCTCGGCGCAATCGGGCGGTTTTAAAAAAAAAAAACCAACACAAAAATACATCAGGCTCGATCAACCACGTCATTGCGGAGCTTAGCAGCCTGCGAGCGTCAATGGTATAAAAATGAAATGTTTACCTTGTATGAGACTAGAGACCACAGCTCCCTCAAGCAACCGGCAGCGATAATGGGGACGGACCAACCGCACAGGCGGGCTTTTATACGGCAGCTTGCGGCCCCGCCCCCTCATGAATATGCATCGCTAGTCGCCAGCCCTTTTATTTTGAATTTTTGCGACGGCGTCTCTCATTCGCGGATAACCCGTCCATCCATTTCGCGACTGCTTTACCCAACGCTTGGTTGAGAAGCGGAGCGAGCTAGATCCTGAATAAATCCCGCTACTGGAAAAAAAAAAACCCGTCTTTAAACACAAATGCACCCAAAGCATGATTAATTCTTATCCTAGATCTTGCGCACTCCAACGTTAACATAGCGCAAGTTCCCTTGTGCTGCATTAAAATAGAAAACCAACGCTTTCTCATACATATTAGACGTTATTGAGATATTTCTGATCTTTTCAAGATGCACAGGATTTAAACATAACCTTTCGTTCAGTCGGCCTCCGAAACGGTTCGTACTGGTCTGGTCCATATACGCGCCGCTAGCCTCCTTACGATCTTATTTTAAACCCCATCAATTTATAGATTTCGATTTGCATTAACAAAGCTTTCGCAAAACGTTTTCTCCCTCCACTTAATCAGACCATTTCACCAGTGCCTCTGCCCCATCGCCTTCAGACGTTTCACCCACCGAAACTCAATTTATATTTTAGAAGAGCACTGTACATGCAATTCACATCCACCTCGTTGCAAACTCACATTTGCTCTCCTTAAATTCTGCCTCGAGTGATCAAAACCGCTAAAAATAATCACTTCCCTTTTCTACTTGCTATGGTCTCAATCCCCTAATCCCACACTGCTCTTCGGATTAAACAAAACGGCAGATTCATGAAAATGCCACCTCCCGTTCCTTATAATAATCTCCATGCTTTGCAATACACCACTCCCTGCTGCAGTCACTCGCGCAGCGTCTGCACGGCAGAGAATTGTAGTGCTCCACCGCACTTTATAAATCAACGAATATAAGACAATACCCAATCACATTGAGTAAAATACGTGCTTTTATTAAAACATGGGGAAAAAACTTTTTATTTCACAAATGATGCAACGGATGCCATTAATGATCATGTAGTGTATATACAGTTCTCCGTTCCCACCCGGGGGAGCTGGGAGAGACCGCAATGTGCTGGTTGCTCGTGGTAATGAGTCCTTCTCGGGTACACCTTTCATCTGGCGATCACCACCCTGGAATAACAATGGAAGCAGATTTTATACACAGCAGTGGGACTTTTTTTTACCAACTAGAGAAAATGTAAAAGTTTCACATTCACATCTGGAGAGGACAAATGCCATCCGAATGCATATTTAATTGTATTAAAGTTGCTGTTTGAGAAGAAACAAATGCCTTGTACTTCATACAATGAAGGAATTAAGTCTTCACATATTAACTAAAGCTTCCAGGCACTTGTCAGAGTGTCATGACTAACCTTGAAGGAGCTCACTTGCATTTTTCAAGTTCTTCAGCACTGCTGATTCCTCTATAGATTCAAAGACATCCTTTGGCAAAATCCTCAACCTAGTCAAACAAGAATGCGCTGTATTACAACACCATACACAGCAGGTTTAAAACATACAGCTCATGTTCCAACGTTACAAGCATGCATTGGTATTAAACTACTAGGTTAATTCTGGCATTTTAGCCTGGAAATTCCTAAAGTTCTTCACATCAATAATACCTAAGGACATTAAAACATCCAAGAGAGCTTGATCTTCTCAAAATCTAATGAAATCTAGCTTTAAGGATAGGTTCCTATAATTTAGATGAACAATTACATTTGTTATATCTTAATCAAAAACTACACAAATGCCCTTAACATCTAACATATAACAGTGACACTGACACTAAGGGGATCGTGTTTTTTGAACCATGGAGGCTTTGTTCTCTTAAATCGGTAGGATACAACACACCATTCAAGAAACAGCCTTTTTGATGACATGATTGCCAGAGGAGAAACTTTGAAGACAAACAGATGTTGGTATATTGTTAGGGAAAAGCAGCCATGATGTTACAGGAAACAGGACTCAAGTGCTCAGAAAGCAATCCTTTTTGGAAGCCTGCAGGCCAATGAAATTGGAGCCAGGTATTTCCAACTCAGAGGCTTCTCAATTCCCAAGGTTTAAACCACATGAGAACAAGGAACAAACCATGGTGCTAGTTCAGAGCAGCACTTTATAGTTAAAGTTCAAAATCATGCATCAGTTAACTCTGGGGGTTAAATATAATTAGGAAGTGAAGGATCTGTTTTTCTATCTTTATAGGACATCAATTCAGGGAACTTGGAAGGATTTTTTTAAATGAGAACTCAGTTTGAAGGATGCGAACAGGAGAGCAAAAGGTGTTACCTCGCAGGCCTATCTCCAAACATGAACTAGCCAAGAGAGCAGCTTTCATCTCAGAGGATTCACGTGTTGGTAGGCACAATGCTTCGTTCTCCAAGGGCTCTGCAGATTTCCCATATTCTAGCAGAGAGCTCTTGGACGCGGTGAACATTACAACACACCCATCTCCAGGTGACATTACCAGTTGTCCTTTCCTCACTGTCTAAGTTACCTTACAGTATTATGACAACCAAAAGAGCTAAATACAGAAGAATATTTTAAGCTATACTTGGCAAACGTTGCATGCAGCACCACGCCTACTAGTTTAAACCTATGAACAATTTCAAGGTTTTTTTCATAACTACACATTTCAAATTCTAAGACTATGAGTTACAAAGGCAAATATAGCAGTAACTCCACATCACCCACCCAGTTTTCCTATAGCTTGTTTGCCAAGGCCTAGTGAACTGAAAACTACTCTAACCTCCCTCTATGCCTAAGACACTTCAGCCACTGGTGCTGCACTTAATGCATTCAGTTGATTTTCCACAGTTGAAACATCAATCATTTGTTTCTTTTGAGGCACAAGAAAGAAGAGCAATTTGAACCAGTTGTTTAATGGGCTTCATGAAGCCAGAATTTACAAAAGTTTCTTCCAAGGTTTTGATACAGAGAACTTAAAGCACAATTTCTTTCGTTTGGAAAAAAAAGCAACAGTGTTGGTATTACATTTCGAAAAAAATCTCATCATGAACGTTTCAGTCCATCACACATTGGAGCATTTCAAGAACCCATATATTGCAAAGAGCGAAATACCATTAAACGTGCAGCAGACTGCCACTGGTGCTGGGGTATTTTAAATTAGCATCCGGCCAATTCAATATTTACTGCTATCGGTGCAGCAGTCAAAGTAATTCACTCTTTGTGCAATTAATATTTTCATATCTTTAGCTATATCAAGGAGGTCTGCTAGAAAAGCTTGCATTCCTACCTTGCTACACTAAAGGAATGCATTACAGAAAAGAAGGCGCATAAAGCCTTAAACATTATCACAGCTTGTCAAGCTTCTATTGAGGTTGCTCAAATGTCTGAAATGAGTTTCGGGGTAAGTATAAAAGTTTCCCCATCACTTGAAAAGTTGAATTCGAGGGAAAAAAGTCCATTCATTTTCTCTCATGTTAAAGTACGTGTAGAACACAAACTACTAGGTAAGGGGATTTTAGCTCAGTTTTAGAAGCTGTCAGGCTGTGTTGAACAGAATAAGAGACTACATCCAGGTTATACAACACGAGGAGAAAAAAACAACAAAAACAGATTCTTCGAAGAGCGTATCTTTATAAATACAGCCACTGAAGGGACGATCTTGAATCAGGATGGTTTTTTACTCGTGTGTAGCTGAGGACAAGAAGTAGGCACAGATGTAAAGGCACTGAAGCACATGGACAAGTACTTAAATTTTCCCCATAACCCCTTAACTTTTTAAAGCTGAAACTTTTTTTGCACAGCTTATTCTTGTGCCAAATGCGGACATAGCTTAGAACTTGTCGGGAGGGATAATTCTCTCCTATATTGCGGTGCATCTAGTTCCGTCTTGATACTACTGCAAAATCATCAAAGCAGGGCAGATGTTGTTTGAACAAGGTCTAACGTTATGTTGACACTTTCTTGTAAATGACTTAGGAAGTAAAAACATGATTTCTTTTTGATCCAGAAGGCAGAGGACTGTGCACTCTACTCCATATGAAGTGATACTTCAAACAAGATATTTGTGGCTCAAAGCCTAAATAGACTACGGATGTACAGGCTTAAAAAACTATATATTGGATGGCAAGAACTTGGGGAAATTCCTCTACTTTAGCAGCAGTGTTGAAACAGATTGAATGTTCTGCTCAAAAATGTTTAGAAACTTTACAATTAAACTACAACTACCCCCACCCCTTTACAATCCATACATACCATAGCTGTCGTAGCTGTCCCTGTAGGAGCCCCCAGAGCGCTCACCATAGCCCCCCTGCCCCCTGCAAGAAGCACAATTCAATCAGCATCACGGAAATCTTCGCAAACCCCGTGAAGTGGCGAAACACGTTTACGCATCCACTAAGACCCAAGACTGACCTGCTGTCCCGGTTGTAGTATCCGCCCGAGGAGTAGCCGCCGCCGCCGCCACCACCACTCCTGTTGTATCCGCCACCGTAACTCCTGTCTCCGCCCCCGTAGCTGCGGTCACCTCCATAGCTCCTGTCGCCACCATAGCTTCCTGCACGGGGGGGGGGGACAAGTTCAGCATGACCACTCAGAGCCAGACCCCAGAGACCCACGGGCGACTAACCGAAGGAGGGCGTGACATCAGACCAAGAGGAGGCAAACTCGCTCTTGCCATGC